GAGTATAAAATGTTTTTTTAACACATACGTATTCAAAAACATAAATAAAATGATCCTTTCGAAAATTGAATCTTTTTATCTCAAATTAAAATTATATTTATTGGTGAAGTATTTTTTCCATCGCAATTTTCAGGCCAATTTGCTTTCAATTTTCTAACATTAAGTTTGTAAATATAATAGCTTATGCACTGAGTTTATTATCGTGGTGGTGAAAATATTGCTTTTTCTAAATGATGCTGTTAAATTTATTTATTAATATCTTATTTTAAATTGATGCCTTTTGTAATAATTGAAACTTTAAAATAACTAATAGTTGTGCCTTCAAATGAAAAAAGTATTATGTAAACGTAAATAATTATATTTTTCATTTATTTTATTGAAATATGACAAATTTAAATATTTATTTTCACTTAAACTTTTATATTCTCATATATCCGTGCTAAAGAAAGAAATCATTTTTTTTTAAATTAATTTTTTTTTTTATTAAAAAGAGAAATTTTAATCAAGTATTATTTTTATGAAATTCTAGTCTCCTCAATTATTTTTCTTAAGTTTCCTTATATAAGATCATATAATGACTATACAATGACTAAAGTTTAACTAAGATTGTATCAAAAAAATATATTTTTAAAATAAAGTTTCGCATTTACGTATTTTTTTTTTTTTTTTACGTCGAATAAATTATTCTTGAAGTTATCTAAAATTTCATATTTTATTTTTGTTTTCATAAATAAAGTTTCTGTATAATTAATAGATATAATATATTCTTATTATTTTCTTTTCACATTGAATAAATATAAATTTTTTTTTCTCTCTTTCTATAATTATAGCAATTTAGAATCTATATCATTGAACTAATGAAAGAAAGCAATCAAAAAGAATTTTAATATATTATACATGTTTACCGGCAAGAATATAAATAATTTACATTGCAGATGATTTTTTTTCATCCTCGGAAGATCGATCAAATCAATGATCTTTCAAAGATTAAAAAAATTGTGAGAGCAGGCATCTGATTACCTTCACATGAATATCACATGGAATTCACATGGATATCATACAAACAATGCAACATAAATCTTTTTTAAATGCTTTCAAATAATATTTTCATCTGTTTCTAACCGCCATTCTTAGTTACTTAAAAAATTATAAGTTTATAATAAATAAAACACTCTACTCGGATATTCAATATTTGAATATTTGAATTTCCAATAATCCCCAACAAAAATAAAAGTTTCAATCTTTTGACAAAATTATTAAAAGAAATGTTTTGATATTGAATTATTGATATTGAATTTATTATTAATTATCTAATATATTTTTTAATAGCAATGCATTTAAACAAAGTTGACAAATTACGATCTTGTGTGAGATTCATAGTCTAAACGTTACGTAAGAAAAGCATTGTGGAAAACATACGATGTCAAGGAACGATAAGAGCGTTATCATAATTAACTAGTATCGATCTCAATGGACCATAAAACACGATTCATTTTTTTCTTCTCTTCCCTCATTGACTTTTTATCAATCTCATTATGGGTCATTTGATAATAAAGAAAATTGATAGGGGAAATTACAAAAATCATGTTATTGTTATAGTATACGGCTCGTTTTGCAATTTGTAAATCAATTGTAATTTTATAATTTGTAATTTTTGTTAATTGTAATTTTTTATGTTACTTATTTTAAAAACAAATTATATATTCTTCGACGCTTGAGAGCTTTGAAAGAGAAATTATCTCGAGTCTGGTGGAAAATTTACATTTTATGAAGAAGTTTTTATCGATTTTATCAAATAAAGTAAACTCGATTACGAAGTTAGAAAGAAATTACTTTTTAATTTTTCTTGATCGAAATTTTATTACTTACGACTATACTTCTATATTTTCTTTTTCTTTCTTTTTTCTATCGCTTTAGATGAAAGAATTTCTAAAAAAGAAATTGAAATTGAAATTACAACTGCTATTTGAACAAAATGTAATTACTTATTTCCTTCGTATATAAATTAATTATAAATTAATTATTTTTAAAATTATTTATAACAGATATATATATAAGATATTCGATAATTATCTTATATTTAACAAATAACAAAATTTATAGTTTTTTCTAATATCATGACATATTAAATCTTTATTTGACAAAGTAGTTAAAGTATTTACATTAGCATAAATAGAACATTTGCAATGTCAAAATATTGAAAGATTTAAATGGATTCGATCAAAGATTTCTGACTTTGAAGCCCGAGATTACTTGTCATTTAAGAAAATTGAGCAAGATTATTAAGTTGTATAATGGATTACACAATTTGCAAGTGTTATTAGAATTATATATCTTTTAATTGATTAAAAACAAAGAGTATAAGTAAGATAAAATATAAAACCAATAAAATCAAAAACAAAAAATATTTTTATTTTTCCTTTAATCTTTCAATAGAAAATTATAAGTATATAAATATAAATAAATGTAAGTATATATATATTTTTGTGAATAATTGTATTTAAAAGGTATTAAAAATCATTACAATTATTTTAATTTAGATAGAAACAGAAATAGAAATAATTGTTTGAAATAAATAAACTCATTGAAATTTTGTTTGAAACATCTTAATCTTGTCTCATCGTTTCAATTATTGCAATGAATTCCATGTTTTAATTTATTCAATGAATGCTGTTACGTTCGTGACATCTCTTAAATAACTGAGATAATATATTCAGAGGAAACTTTATGCAACCTTTATTTATTTATAAGAAGCGTGTATCATAGAGGAATAACAGTCTGAGAACTGATTGTGAGAGCCACTGCTGATTCAAAGTACGATGTCGAAGGTCGAGGTATCGAGCCGTATTTAAATATACATTAATTCGAAAAAATATTAAAACGTAATTTTAGAGAAAAATTAATCAGAAAATTCTAATTTCGATAAAAATTTACATTTTTATTTTATATATCTTTTTTTTTTTTCCATAAAAAATATCTTCGAACGGATAAAATCCACTCTCAAAATTTCTTCTTTCGTATTTTGAATATTGAATATTCGTTTGGAAATATTTTCTACAACGAGATGATAGAATGTTAATATATATTTGTGAAGGATTGATTCTAGAGACCAAAACAAATACGAAAGTTGATATTCAAAAATGTCGTTTGAGATTTGTAATTTGACTGTTACAGTAAGTTTTTTTATTACAATAATACTTTCAGAATTTAATTGAATTCTCAACATTGTATTTTTAACAGTTTTATCATATTTATTACAAACGATCGAATATTTCCAAAAGCGATTTAATAATTAATTAATTTAAATTTCGTTTAATTTGCAAATCGATGATCGTTTCCAGTCCAAAATATTTTTTATGGCATTAGCTTTGATAAATATAAGATCAATGATCCAAGAAATTTCGTTATAATGAATCAGAATGTTTGTTATAAAGATGCAATGGAGTTTATAAATAATTTAATGCTTCTTCTAAATTATGATGTGATAATAATGATTTGATAATGAAGTAAAATTGCGCGAAAGATTTTTAAAGATTATTCTATACAACTCAATTAAATATCAATCAAATTATAAAATTTTAAAAACTGCTCGTAAAACGGAACTTTATGACTTATATTTGCCATTTGTGAACATATTATCGGTTAATGAATTATTTATATAGAGAAGACTTTTATGTAACAGACAATGAGAGTTAGAAATACAGTAGAATCTTTAGTAGATATTCGAGTTAACATGGTAAAAATACCAAGATAGATGTGAGCTCATTTTCAGAGAACGATTGCTACCTAAAGATTAATGTTTATATAATGAGATAACTATGGTTATTAATTTGTTTGAGTAATACCGTTTATTAATTATTATTATTACGTTGAGTAATAAGTTCGTTTGCATATTTAAAAGATTTTTATATCAAAATCAAATCATCTATTTTCTTATTACGTTTTTCTTTTGTTAATTATTAGTTTATTAAATAATTTATTTATCTTATTTTTCTATAAAATTCTCTATTCTCTAAAAATTTTGATAAGGAATCTTTTTGTTTTTATCTTATATGGGTATTTATTTTTTATAAATTTATCATTTATTAATTCATTTTTTTTCGTGCAGTTACTGCGACATTTAGAAGCATAGTTATAAATATGAGGAAAAGAAGAAAAAATGCAATTTCATATTCTATTGACGTAAATCTATGTTAATTTTATTTTCGTTTTCCATTTGCTCAACTTTTATTTCAAATATATTACAAATCGTGTTTTGAAAATATCGAACATGTACTACATTTTTTGCTTATCGATATTCAAATATCATCGAAATTCTCTTTTCATAGATTCACAATCGATATTAACGCAATAAATTCGATAAAATTGATTAACTTTCTTCTATTCTTTAAAATTATTGAACTCGTTAAACTTTTTTTCAAAGTTCAAACACCTCGAAAACGCCAATGATAATAATACAGTTATGCTCTTCGTCGATATAATAATTGAAAATACAATAGAATCCTTTGTATTCAAACTAATGTAGAGATATTCGTATAATCAATCGTCTATTGATAAATCAATTATTTGATAATTGATTAAAAGTCATTCGTTCAAGAGCAAATTAAAAATACTGACAATAATATTTAAATATATAAAAATTAAAAATTTTATTTTTATTTTTATATCGAGATGAATATTTGAAAATTTATATCATAAAATCTTCTGTATGAACAATTACATTAGCGAATAAAAGTTATTTTGTGATCGTGTTAAAAGTGACGTTTCAACAGGTTGAAAATCTTGATTAATTCAACGTGTGATATTTTCACGTTTGAACTAAACATCGTTCAGATTGCTATCACTCTACATCTATACGTACAATCTATCCAATAAATACAAAATATTTAATCGATACAATCTATTATCTCTCCTAATGATATCATTGTTTCAAATTCTTCCATTGGAAAATAATAAGGATTTGTTTAATCGCAAATTAATTATAAAATGTGGTGTTTCAGGAAGCTTGGCAATCACTCCACGCCGGACTCTCGATAAGGAAGTTCATCCATCCATTCGATTCAAATTTCGCGATACATCGACGTTCGTGACAATTAAACAGTATTGTTCGATTAAGAGATACTAAAAGCGATAAATATTATTAAGTATCGAGCGGGAAGAACAAATAAGAGTGATATTCCCTTCATTATTTGCGAATAGAGAAAACTATAAGTAACGTTATCATAAAAAGTTCCCCCATTGGAAAAATATCGAGGCAACTTCCGAACAGATATTTAAACTTTACGTAACTTCGAAGTTAGTTCGTGATGTTTAAAAATATAACAGAAGATATATAAATATATATAATTTTTGAAACGTAGTTTACGAGTTTACAAGTTGTCAATTCGAAAATTTACGAACGGTGTAATTGATACTGTTGGTGAAAGTGTGGTGTGGAAAAAAAGATAAAAATGCATTCCTCGCGTGCCAGATACGCATTGGTCAAACATAGAAACGTGTTGCAAGTGTATAAAGTTGCAAAAAGATGTTTCGGCACCGATGTCGAATACAGACCGATCAGGAGCGTCCTTGTGGCCAATCGAGGTGAGTTTCTTTCTAAAATTTTATTCCATCAATTTTATTCAATTATATTCATTTTATTCCATCAATGTTTTCAAATTAGATTAAAATAAAAAGATTAAATTACGAAGAATCAAAGCAATAGAATTTAAAGAGAAAGATTTAAAAAATTAACTGGATGAATCGATACGATAATGGAAAGCAATCGTACATCTATTAGTTTCAATTTCCATTACGATGTCGGTTTTTAATTTATTCATCTACTTCTTAATTTACTCCTTGTTAGTTCGAATTTAAATCATTCGCGTATCTATCTTTAGTCCAAAGAGTATAACTGACCCATTAATAATGAATGATGCAGTTCGAAATTAAATACCAAATACAGTTTTAAACGATGATTTAAATTTCAAGTAAAAGTATCGTAAAATTCTTTTGATCTGTCGGTTTTAAATTTTTTATTTACATATCCAAATAATTTTATCTTTTACATACGCGATAATGATTATCAAATAACGATTATCATTTACAGATTTATCTGTGATGGTTTGAAATTAGATTACGAAATTTAGTAAACTAACATTCACTAGCGTATATATTCATTCATAATATTTATTTCGATCATGCAATTTGATAAGCCAATTTATCGAACATCGTCCAATTTCAATCCATTGAATGAATACGAAGACTTATTAGATTGTTTCTCAGACGAAGATTATTCTCGATATGAACATTATTGAATATATATATGTACATGATATATCTGTACTTTGATTCATACTTTGATTTCGTTCAATTTTTGTCATTTTTTACAAAAACATCAACTAGTGACATTGGCCTCGCTATACGGTTGGTTCTAATGTAAATTATATCCATTCGATTCAAAATCTTTAATAATAGAAACATTGAAAAGACGTAAATCACGCGATTGAAAATGATGGGGAGACGAATCGAATTGAGTCGAACGATAACATGCAAAATGAATGATACAGCGCATATTATTATGTCTTCGTTCGATAATGATGCTTATTTATATTCGGACAACAAGATAATTTATTATGATGCAAAAAAAAAAACTGAATATTTTCATATTTTTACGGTTCCATTTGTACAATCTTAGATTGTTTATTATATAGAATAATAACTGTGAATTCGTCACTTTATTGCGATCGCTTTGGATATTGATTGGCCTTCTTTCATTATTGTCATTTATAAAACACTATAAATACGAACAACTTCGTGTACATTGAACATTCGATAATGATGTACGATCAATCTATGGCACTCTACTTAATTATGCCACTAGCTTCTTTAACATCAGTGATCTATCTTTGTGATCTATTATAGAACGTCAGAACATACATACGTTAACATGTTTTTCTATCCAGAATCAAATTCCATTCAATTTCCAATTTTAACTTATTTACGATTTTTAATTCTTCTAAAATTATTAAATTTTATCGCACACTTTCTCTCTCTTTCTTTCTCCCCCTCTCTCTCTCTCCAGACATTTTTATCTCCAAATATTTGTAAGCATCATGAGTAAAAAATAAAAATAAAATAAAAATAATAAAGTATTATTTTGAAAAAATAAAAATATATTTAAAAAAAGCGCAGATATACAGGATAATCTCGTTCCAATTTAATCTTCTTTCGTTTCGTATTACACATTTTAAAATATTACTTTTTCCCTTCTTGGTTGAAGTGTTTTTCGATCCATTCGCAAGATGGAAAGATTTATTTTATTATTTTCACAGGAGAAATCGCGATTCGTGTGTTTCGAGCATGCACGGAACTGGGAATCCGGTCCGTGGCCATTTATTCGGAACAAGACAAGATGCAAATGCATAGGCAGAAAGCGGACGAGGGTTACGTGGTGGGCAGAGGGCTACCACCTGTCCAGGCTTACTTGAATATCCCGGAAATCATCAAAGTCGCGAAAGAGAATAACGTGGACGCTATTCACCCCGGTTATGGCTTCCTGTCTGAGCGATCGGATTTCGCGGAGGCGGTGATCAATGCTGGAATAAGATTCATCGGCCCTAGCCCCAAAGTGGTTCAACAAATGGGTGACAAGGTATATTACTTTTCAATAATATATTCAAAAAATTCGAAAAATATCCTTTAGCACAACTCTAAACGAAAAAATATTTTATCAAAATCAAATCATAATACTAGACAATATAATTTTAGTTATTTTATAATTTACAAAAAGTATACAAAGTAAAAAAGTATAATAAAAGTACAAGTTGTTATTACAGAAATCTCAAAATTTATACTAAATTTCATCACTATATTCGTCAACATTTTATTCGCTTTTTTCTTGAGGAACTCTGGAAGAAGTAAAAGACTTATCCATATTAGGAAAAGTTCACAAAAATATACTTTGAAAGAGACTCGAATAGCAGTCAAAATGAAACTAAACTTTTATCTTGTATGATAAAATAAGATAAAATACGATAAGAAATAAGAAATAAGAATATCGACAAAGTATACATTTTATAATTAACGATAAAAAAAATAAAATGAAAATAAGTATATACATTCTATTTTTAAATTATATTACTGAAGTGATATTCTATTTAAAAATTTTTTTTTTATTATATTTATTTTATTTTTCTTTTAGTGGTATATAAGCCACAGCCACTATTTGATATTAGTAAAAATTAACATGTTGTTTATATTTTTTCCTTTGGCTATAATTTTAACATATGGTTTATAAACCATATCCGCAGTTAAAGGAGATTAAGAAGAAAAAATATTCTTACAAAAATGTTTCGAAGATGTATATATAGATTGATTGATTTTTAAATTTATCATTTTATTTAAAATCGTTTATTGATAAAAATGAAAAAAATATATTTATTATTAGGTAGCTGCGAGACAAGCTGCGATAGACGCTGGTGTGCCGATTGTTCCGGGGACAGATGGACCGGTAACCACGTCCGACGAGGCGATGGAATTTTGCATGAAACACGGACTTCCGGTCATTTTCAAAGCCGCTTATGGAGGAGGTGGAAGAGGTAGAATTTCATTCTGTTCAATTCAACTTTAAATTTTTAAATTTAATTTACAATATCGATCGTTTCTTATTTTTCTAAAATTTCTTATATTTTCAAAATTTTTTTTTCTTCTACATTCTTTTGTCCTTTTATTCTTTCGAGTCATTCGCTTTTCTTAATAAATTGTTTTTCTTCGAATCATTCATTTAATTTATTTTTTATACGTTTTTAAAAATATTTTTTTTAATTTTTAAATGAATTTCTTGGAATACTTTTGGAAGATTCTACAGAATAATCGTAAAAAAGGTGTTATATCATAAGAAAATATTGTATTTAAGTTGTATAAGTCATAATATGTACCTATTTTCGTTTATAATTGTTTCCTGCCTTACAACGAGATCTAGGTCTCAGTAAAATAAGCTGATAGATGTACAATGTATTCATTCTATTATTTCTAGTATTTTTTGTCTCTCATTTCCTTTGCCATAAATGTCTATTCATCGCGAGAACTATTTTGTAGAATCCACTCTACTTTGAACAAAATCATACGGATTTATTGTCTTTTTTGTCATTCGTTATTACCTATCATCAAATCATTTGAATATCATTTGAATTAAATATTTAATTTTGTTTAAAAACCGAATAAATATTTTATAAATTAATAATTTAAATTTCTTTCATTTCTTTTTAGAAATTTCATTTCAAAGTAAAAATATACATATAATTCGATCTGCTTGAATCTCCTATATATTTCAAATAATACCATATATAAAAGAAATACAAAATATATGTATAATATTTACATATTCTATTTTTTTGAAACTTTTTTTCAAAGGTTCAAAACGAGTAAAATAGTAATTCATAATAGACGTTCAATAAATGTATTCTAAAAAAATATATATATATGTTTGTAATACGAGTACTGAATCATCTTGTGCGAACAGTAACACGAAAAGAATACGAAATGGATCAGACATCGATAGAATCTTACATGCAATTATAATTATTTCCATAAGCATAATATAAAAATAATTGCTTCGAAATAACGCTGTACCATGATTCTTCATTTTTTCTTCTAAATTTATTAATCGATCTTACTTCTACTCAAACAATTCTAAAAGGAATTATTTATTAATAAATAATTAATTAATTATTAAATTTTACAGGAATGAGAGTCGTAAGGCACATGGAGGAGGTCCGAGAAATGTTTGATCGGGCATCTTCCGAAGCTAAGGCAGCTTTCGGGAATGGGGCGATGTTCATTGAAAAATTCATCGAGAGGCCAAGGCACATCGAGGTTCAATTATTGGGAGATCAAGCTGGCAATGTTGTTCATCTTTATGAACGCGATTGTTCCGTGCAACGTCGTCATCAAAAGGTTGGTAAACGAGAAAAATTAATATAAATAATCGTGGACAGTCGTTATTTATGAAATCATTCTTTTTAATTCTCTTCGATCGTTTTCGATCTATTTTTAAACACGTGTGTTTATATATACATTATTCATAGAAATAATACAATTATATTAAATGAATGGACGATCGAATATATTTTAAGCAAAAATTATAATAGAATTATTCGATATCTTTTTTTTTTTTATTATTTCTTATATTATAGATATTGATAAAATTTTATATCGAGAATAAATTTCAATGTTGAGATTAAAAAATTACTCGTACGCAATTTATTGATGGAAATATTATGAAAATATGTATGATTATATGATTATATGACTTACTCGATATAATTATTATGATTAGTTATTATGAATTATTTATTTTTGCAAATTCATTAATGTATGTCAACAGATATTATTAAAAATTACATTATAAGAGAAATATGATTTTACGATGGTGACAACTTTAAAAGTAAATATTTCTTGATAAAAATAATATTAACACGATTGAATTTTATTCATTTAATAATATTCTGCTATTATCTTTTATGAAATAAATATCGATTGTATATAATGATTAGCATAAACTCTAAAATTAAACGATTAAAATTAATAGTACAGAATTCTATAAAAAAAGAAATATAAAAATTTTATTTTTCACGATAAATAATTAAATTTCACTCTCTTGCTTCTCTATCTCAAGAATTCGAATGGGAATACGTTCACGTGCTCGACTGCTTCCATAATCGTAAAAAAAAACGAGGGCAACGTTGCAAAAGTGCGGAACAAATGTGCAAAAAAGAAAATAATAAAAGACAGAAGAATATGGCAGTAATTAAAAATTTCTAGATCAACGTATTTGTCGAAAGAAAATAATAGAATAGAATACTAAATTAGCGTAGTAAATTAATCTTTATTCCCTGGAATGTGTGTTCGAGTTTGTGAACTCAAGATGGAAATTTCAGGTGGTTGAGATCGCTCCTGCACCACGATTAGATCCCAAAGTTAGAAATAAAATGACGGAGCACGCTGTAAGATTGGCAAAACATGTTGGATATTCGAACGCTGGTACCGTCGAATTTTTGGCTGACGAATCCGGAAATTTCTACTTCATTGAGGTCAATGCTAGATTGCAAGTCGAGCACACTGTCACGGAGGAGATCACTGGGTACGTGTATTTGTATAGAAGAGATTGTTGCATGAATTTGTCTTATAGATATTACATGATGTAACAGTATTTTATATGGTATTTTATATTAATTATATATTGCAAAATATTTTTGTATTAAATTAAATAACAGATACTTTAAATATCTCAAAACTTTATAAATTTCTATATTCGTTTTTATGGTATATCAAACAATATCCAGTATTCAATTAAATTAAGAATATAATCGATGAATAGAATTAAAGTGACACGTAATAAATTTATATCGTTTTAATACAAGGAAATTTATTTGCATTGTAAAAAGTATTCGATGGCTCTCAATCAAAAGTGCATTAAACCAATCAAGATTAATCTTCCAGAATCGATCTGGTGCAATCTCAAATCCGTATTGCTGAGGGTATCACGTTACCTGAGCTGGGTATGACGCAAGAGAAAATCATTCCTCAAGGTTTCGCGATACAATGCCGAGTTACCACAGAAGATCCTGCGAAGAATTTCCAGCCGGATACCGGAAGAATCGAGGTGTTCCGTTCTGGGGAGGGTATGGGTATTCGATTGGATGGTGCCTCTGCATTCGCTGGTGCGATTATCTCGCCTTACTACGACTCGCTTCTCGTCAAGGTAAAACTCTTAACAAATCTTAGGAAAAATCTGAAGAAAATTGTTCAATAGTTTCAAGATATGATTTTTAAAACGTGGAGAGGCAACGATGTTAAACGACGTCTGTCAAAATTGAATCAATTTTCAATGATATCTCTTCCATTTTGTTCTCAGGTTATAGCCCACGCGGGTGATTTGCAATCATCTTGCGCGAAAATGAATCGTGCCCTCCGCGAGTTCCGTGTCCGTGGAGTGAAAACGAACATACCGTTCCTTTTGAACGTGTTGGAGAATCAGAAATTCCTGAACGGAAAGGTGGACACTTACTTCATTGACGAGAATCCACAGTTGTTTCAGTTCCAACCGAGTCAGAACCGTGCTCAGAAGTTGCTCAACTATCTTGGCTCGGTCTTGGTAAATGGACCAAGCACTCCATTGGCTACACCGTTAAAACCAGCAGAGATAAAACCTCACATTCCTCAAGTCGCTCTAGGTATAGTATCCTTTATATAGGAATAAGTAAATTTAAATCAGGTGTATCCTCAAATATTAATATCATATCAATCGAGTCGCTTCTCACTGTGATTTCGTGATGAAGGCTGAAATTGGGCATGGAAAAGATATTGGACTTATATTTTGGGTTGAGATATTGGAATTACACGAAGAATTGCTTTCAATATATGGGACAACGAATCAAAGGGTCGTCAAATTTTTTATTTTCTTCACTGTGTGTTCATAGAGGGTGATTATTGGTGGCTGCATAGCGGTTTGTTTCTTTGATTTTTTATTTTACTATGGAACACTGAATATTTATTTATAGTAAAATATATATTTATAGTTAAAATAGTTATTCTCATTTCTAAATATCTTTAATTATAAAATTAAAATAAATTTTCTTTCTTCAAATCTTAGACTTTTGTTAATTGATAAATAAAATAGAAATAGAGAATTTTTTTTTTCTTTAACTTCTCAGACACGAAGAATTCGATTATTACTTTTCTTTTACGCTATATTAATGGGAAACGAGATAATTTTCGAGTATCGACTTAAGATTTTTTATATACTTTAAAATTGTCTTCAAGAACGAACTCCATATGGTACATACAACAGTTTTTTCACGTGTATCGGTCTGTATATGTACAGATTACGGTAATTTTGTATTGGTATATGTTTATTATAGATAAAGATAGGATAAAAAGTTCGCGTGACGTAGGCGGTATGTAAAAAAACTGTATTTCAAACATCGTATATGGTAATAGGTAATGTAAAGAACATTATTGAAAAAATTATATATAGGATGTTAATATATTCGTCAGACAGTTTCTTGATTTTAAAGGATAAAAAAAGTATAAAAAAATAAAATTTTGATATAAAAATGTTGAATGATTATTTATTATATTACGAGCGATTTAATTTACATAGATGAAGCAAGACAACGCCACGTTGCGCCGCGCTGCGGCGATACAGCGAAACAGATCTATCTTCGTCTTGCAATTGTGTTGTCTCCCTCTGTTTCATTTAATGTAAACTTAAATTGCTTATAGCTTAATAAATAAGCTTTAATCGATACTTTTGTATATTGACTTTTGTGTTTGTTTTGAATTCTAGAATATATTAACATTTTGTATAATCTTTATATTATTTATTTGATGAAGGGCAATATAATATGATTATTTAAATAATAGTCAGTGTTTCATGGTTTAGAAATGTGGTTTCAAAATTAACCTTTTGTTGTCCAGAATATATTATTTCACTTTTTCGTTACATAATAATTTAAAATTTTATTTTTCATTAGATATTATGTTTAAAAGACAGCATAATGTTTTGATATTTACTATTTATAAATTATTTCACGAAGTATATTAAAATATTCTTTAATTTTTTATTTTTTATATTTTATATTTTTTTCATTAGTGATCTCAAAAAAAAAAATCATTATGAAACAAAGATATAAAAAAAGTTACATTAAGACTTCAAAAGATTAAAATTTATTTCAATATTGAAGATTTCAACAGTAAAAAGTTGTTGAATTCAAATGCTATTTGAAAATATAGTATATATAATTGGCGCTCGAAATTGAATTTTGAATTGTATTTTGAAAAAAATTATAAAATTGCACAATTTCTTTTTGAATTTATTTTAATAAATTTTAGAAATTCTAAATTATACATAATCTATGTATAATTATATATTTAAAAATAATAACAAGATTATAGAATTAATAGAAGATAATAAGAAATTTAAATAAAGCATAAATCCAATTATAATATATTTTTAATTTTTTACACTAAAATCTATTTTCTTCTATATATACGTAGATTTATAGAGTATAAATTATAGAATATAGAATATAAAATGAAAAGTTACAGGGTTAGTAAAATTTATAATTTATTATAATTTATTTTATTTTACGTTTCGTAGTCACCTCTATTTGTTCAATAATACACTAAGCTTTTTGCTCTGTTAAAAACATATTTGCAAGGGATTCATTCTAATAAATAATAATTTTATGTTGCGCATTATCCATTTCTTTAATGTACACTATATACATATACATATAATACATAGACACAGATACAAGAAATTTTTTATTTTCATACACATGGTGTTTTCATTTCTACGTAACTTTAAATTTTTCTTTCGATATACGAAAATAACATAAATATTTGTGATATAAAACTTCTTTTATCTGTGTTTATTAATTAACAACAATTACATAACTGAAAGTGTAGTTACTTTTATCCTTGATAAAATATTATTTATTTAAATTTTCATCGCTATTTTTCTCTTTTTCCATCATTCAATAATTTTTTTTATCATTTTTTTTATATTTTAGATTTTATTAATAGTCCCTCGTACATTACACCAAATTGTTTATCGCATGCTTTTACCTTTTCGTTTGGCCATTTTTTTTTAGACTTTGCTAAGCTTGCAGCTGCAGAAGAGAACAATGATCCAGATGCAACAGGTATGCTTTAATATGTGTTCTATTTCTTTATTTCTTTCTTTTTAAGTTAATTGGGTAAGATATAGAAAAATAGAGCTAGAAAATGGTAAGATTATTTATCCAACAAAAAAAACAAATTTTTATTAGTTTTTACTTTCATTTCATTTCATTTCATTGCAGATATGTGTAATTGTAATTGGAATTTGTGCAATGAAAAAAAATTTCGTTAGGTCTCTTATAAAGTAAAATTCAAAAATATCAAGTAAAATTCATTACATTATATTTCATTACACATGAAAATTGAAATAAAATATTATATGTATGTAAAATATGATATGTATTTTTCACTTATTATTAATGTAATATGTATGTAATAATTTATTTAAAAATAATTATTAATTAACAATTGACGTGATTTAAATATGACAAATAGTAATGGAATTTTATTTTATTAGAAAAACGAATTTCAAAAATTCAAATTAATGTTATATTTTAAATTGTACCAATTAAGTGATCACTATACAAATTGAAATATTACAATTGTACAAAGGGGATAATTGAACATTTCAATATTATTATACCATAATTCTAATTAACGAAAAGTTGTTTCATAATGTTTAAATTTTTAGGAAGGGAAAGTAGTTCAAAAAAAAAAAAAGGGTAATGCAAAAGAATCGAAGAATGGAAAATGTCGTTAATAACATTTACAATAATTAAGTCAACTTCAAATTAATACTTGTGAAAATAAAGTTTCTAACAATTACGAATTAACACATGATTTCATATTGTTAATTATTATATCATAATTTATAAAACTTTTAAAATGGTGATGGTTTAGAATATCTTACATTATAAATTCTTAATAACAATGATATAATATTAACGATTAAAACCAAAGCAATATATAAAAAGAAAAAAAAAATTTTTTCAATCTCATCAAGAGACATTTTCCATTTTAACCGTTTAACGCTTCTTTTCTACACTGCATACGTAAGTGCTATACTAACCCCTGCACGTAAAAGCTTCTCAAAATTTCTTCCAATTTCCAATTATTTAAGAAAGCTTTTTCAAATTTTTCAGATATATTGGAACCACCAAAAGGCTTTCGCGACATTTACAAGAAGCAAGGCCCGGAAGCTTTCGCCAAAGCTATAAGGCAGCACAAAGGATTACTTCTGATGGACACCACGTTCCGTGATGCTCATCAATCTCTTCTAGCGACACGCGTGAGGTCGCACGATCTCTTGATGATCGCGCCATTCGTCGCCCACAAGTTCAGCAATCTTTACTCCATGGAGAATTGGGGTGGCGCCACGTTCGACGTTGCCCTCAGATTCCTGCACGAGTGTCCTTGGGAAAGGTTGGAGGACATGAGGAAGGCGATACCCAACATTCCCTTCCAGATGCTTCTGAGAGGTGCCAACGCTGTCGGTTACACCAACTATCCTGACAATGTCGTTTATAAATTCTGCGAGCTGGCTGTACAAACTGGGATGGATGTCTTCAGGGTGTTCGATTCCTTGAATTATTTGCCGAATTTAATTCTCGGTAAGAATCTCGAGAAGAAGGGAAAAAGTCTACTTATCGTTCAGACATTGAACAGATTTAGGTACAGAATGATGCTGCGAGGGCAATGCCGTTTTTGAGAGAAGAATTATGAGGATGCTTCGCTTTATATATTTGTTAAAAACGATTGCCATGTCTTAATAGCAATCAGCATCATCCTTGAGAAGAATTATTGCAAACATCATCCTCAATTTCTTGGGAACAATGAATGGCATAGCCTCGTTAGTCTCATTCTAGAAATTTTCCTTAAATTGGGAGTGTCGCTCATCAAGAGACTAGTTCATGATATTATTGGAGGTTATTAGAGCGTTTTGGAAGAATTATTGCAAACATCATCCTCAGTTTCTTGGGAACAATGAATGGCATAGCCTCGTCAGTCTCATTCTAGAAATTTTCTTTAGATTGAGGGTGTCGCTCATCAAGAGACTAGTTCACAATATTATTGGAGAATTATTAGAAGTTTTGGAAAAACTTTTTGGACTTTAGAACTCTTTCAACTTCAGAACTTTTGTAACCTCAGAATCCTCTCAAAATCAGAACTTTAGAACTTGTGAATGAAAAATATAAATCTTCACTAGCACATGAACTTGCTCTTGACCGATTCAGAATAGAACTTTAATATAATAAATTAATTTTGAGCTGACAATTTAAAATAATAACAAGTCTAAAATAGAAGAAATGAAAAAATGAAACATCGATCGAGGTTAAAATTATATTTTGAACAGGTATGGACGCGGCTGGCAAAGCTGGAGGCATAGTCGAGGCCGCGATTTCATATACAGGTGACGTGAGCGATCCAAACAAAAAGAAGTACAATCTGAAATATTACACGGACTTGGCGGACGAGTTGGTGAAGGCCGGTACTCACGTATTATCGATCAAGGACATGGCGGGTCTTCTGAAGCCGAAAGCCGCCAGCATGTTGATCGATGCGATCAGACAGAGGCATCCCGATATTCCGATCCACGTTCACACGCACGACACCGCAGGGGCTGGAGTGGCATCCATGTTATCTTGCGCGGAAAGCGGGGCAGATGTCGTTGACGTTGCCGTTGACAGTATGTCTGGAATGACTAGCCAACCTTCCATGGGTGCCGTGGTCGCCTCTCTTATCGGTAAGCTGTTTGTTTCTGTTTTATGTTAATGCTATTGATTTTGTCGAATCAATGATAAACAAAACTCGTAATAATAATATGATGAAAGAGAAAAGGGTTGTTTTAAAGATCAAGTTAAAATTCGTCGAAGATAAAATGAACAAGATCGAGATAAATGGAATAATTATCATCATGAAAAATAATACAGGAACGCCAAAGGACACCGAGATTAATCTGAGCGACATTTCGGAATATTCTGCGTATTGGGAGCAGACCAGAACTCTGTACGCCCCCTTCGAATGCACAACGACCATGAAATCCGGAAACGCGGACGTTTACCTGAACGAAATCCCCGGAGGTCAATACACAAACTTGCAATTCCAAGCCTATTCTCTTGGTTTGGGGGCGTTCTTCGAGGACGTGAAGAAAGCTTACAGAGAAGCTAATTTATTGCTCGGCGATATCATCAAAGTCACTCCAAGTTCGAAAGTGGTTGGTGATTTGGCGCAGTTTATGGTTCAAAATAAACTTTCTTCCGAAGATGTCGTGAACAAGGCAGAGGAATTGTCCTTCCCTAAATCGGTCGTGGAATTCCTACAAGGTGCTATCGGCGAACCTCACGGAGGATTCCCCGAACCTCTCAGGTACGTTCAAATATCAAATATGTTATAAAACGTTGCAAACTTATTTGCGCAAAAAATTCAAAAAGTTAAATCTTTGGCCCCGGTATTTTCCCTCAATATATCTTTGCTTCACAGGTCAAAAGTATTAAAAGACATGCCACGCGTGAAAGGAAGACCTGGCGAGACTCTACCACCTTTGGACTTCGACGCGTTGAAAAGCCAGCTACGAGAATCTCATCCTCACCTCACGAACAGAGATATCATGTCGGCCGCCCTCTATCCCGAGGTGACCAACGATTACTTAAACTTTCGGGAACAGTATGGACCGGTGGACAAATTGGAAACTAGGATCTTCTTGACGGGACCGAAAGTTGGCGAGGAGTTCGATGTGACGATCGAGAAAGGTAAAACGTTGGCCATCAAGACCCTGGCCGTTGCTGAAGATCTCACGAAGAACGGAGAACGCGAGGTATTCTTCGAGATGAACGGCCAACTCAGATCCGTGTTCATTAAGGATAAAGAAGCCGTCAAGGTACGCCCAATTCTTACGTCTCTTCATACATTGTTACTTTCAAGTTCGAGCAACAAAGAATTTTATATTTAACTTCAGGAGCTTCATGTACACCCCAAAGCTGCGAAAGGAGACAAAAACCAGGTTGGGGCACCCATGCCTGGTACCGTGATCGACATCAGGGTAAAAGTAGGCGACACTGTCGAGAAAGGAGCGCCGTTGGTCGTATTGTCCGCCATGAAAATGGAAATGGTGGTCCAGGCGCCGAAAGCTGGAAAGATCAAGACGCTGGACGTCACTCAGGGAATGAGACTAGAAGGGGACGATTTAGTGTTGACCTTTGAATAGAATTGTTAACCAAACTGTTCCTGGGACTGAATCGTATCTGAAATTCGTTTCATTGTGCACGTTTATGAGACAAGAGTGCATTTTGTTCGATTGATTGAAGTTGAGCAACATTGCTGCCTAAAAATAGTAGAGAATAATCATTTGTTGTGTAAAAAATTTTTAGATCTAAGAATCGCATACTATTTATCTTTGATCGATAATCAAAACTTGAAAGTACTTTTTATATATATACTTTTTTTGAACGACTTTAATCCACTTTTTAACCATTTAAGCATCGGAAAATATCGATATAAATATAAATATTCTCTGATAACGTAAGATTTTTACATTCGTTTACGATGTCGAATCAAGTCGAAAATTTAATTGTTACATTTTAAAAATTCGAATCTGAAATTTCGCCAGACTTCGAAACTTGCAAAAAAAAAAAAAAAAAAGAAAATTCTTTTTTCAGTTTCGATGACTTTTAAGATTTCGAATGTTCGTTATATGTAAGAAAAAAGCAAAGTGATTACAAATTTCAAAAATTTTAAATATACGAAACTGCTAAGGAAATCATTGCACAAAGATTATAAATTTTTTACTGCTATTTTAAAAAAATAATAGAAAGAAAATAAAATATGTAATATTAGCTTGATTAAACAAAGGTGCACCTCTTGTTCGCCTAGGAAAAAACATTGTGTATAAACATTCGCTCCAACACGAGCGAATCAATCAATCATCAAGGAACGAAAGCAACGAACGTTCCATTAATGTATCCTCGTGAACGTCTTCATCGTCGAGCATATTTTTTTTATCGATTATTACATTTTTGAATATTATACAGATCATTTGAAACAGGACATCTTGTTTTAGATGAGACAGACGTTGTACAGTTATATCTCGAGTTCATCCTTTTTGCGATGATCACATCTCTAGTTTATTTAATTTAACATTGCACGCACATGATGAAATGCTTTGAATGATGAAATATCGTAATCTGTAAATTACAAAAGAGTAACGTCGTCTATTGAATCGTTAAGCTCGAATAAGAAAGTTGAAGCTTAGCGATTCGACGAAAAACTATTACGTGTTGCAATGAGAATTGATCTATGCTGCCTCAAATGTCGATATCTTCGTGTTCATATTTGATTAATTAAGTTGAAAATAATATATATATATGTATCAAAGGCCTATAATATAGTCTCATCATTAACATTGAAATTAAATGATGATACTTTTCTATTATATTCGTTATTGATATCAAATAGATTCAATCGGACATATTTTACAAAATGTTCTTTATGAAGATGAATTCCTTAAACGTGTTAAGTGCCAACGTTACATCAGCGTTTTCCAAACCATATTTTCATGAGAATTGAATTATAAAAATGGTGTTAGTTTATTTTTTTGTTTTTATCACGTGAAGATATTTAAAGATTTCCATTTCCATCGATTCAAAAAACAATGATAAATTATTTGTACTTGTGTTTGTTATAAATTCAAATTCATATCGATTTATCATAGATAAGTTTTTCACGGGAAACAATTGCGTTTTTTAATTTTGCAGATCTTCAGGATATAATTGAAATAATTGAGATTGTACAAAGTGATTAATTTGTGAGTCAAGGTGGTTTAGGAAACGCTTCCTCCGGATTTAAATCAAAAGAAGTATCGAGAGAAACTTTATTGAATGTAGAAATTGAATGTAAAAATTGAATATATTATTACATCGAAACACGGCCAAATAACATTGTCTTGTTGTAATTCGTTGTAAAATAGTTAAATTTTTGGTAAAAAAAAAAAAAAAAAGGAAGAA